GACCCGCCCCTCGCTTTCTAGCATTCACTGAACTCATTGAATTACTCTATCTCTGGACCTTGCACGCCACCACGGTCCAGCGAAAAGTTTAGGGGGTTTTGGAGTGCCACATATACGGACCGGTCTTGTTTTAAATTACGTGGCCACTTTCAGGAAGACACGATTCAGAACTGGAGGCCACAGCATGACTTTAAGAGGGGGAGGGGGTTAAACCTCATTTCTCGTATTTTTCTCGTAAATCGACGCTTAACAGTCAAGCAGTAAGAACAAAACGAAGTTTTGAAACCCAAAATAAGCGACAGAACTCTCGTGCGTAAACCAAATTGCTACTGTTGCTCAGAATGCACCACACTTTCCAAAACTGAACTCCAAACTGAAAACACAAATACTCAAACCATTCTGCAGAGTTTTCAGTAGGTTTCCATATAAAATCCGTTTCATTTTACCTTGTCTTTACAATCCGGAGTTATCGTAAGCTATACGAAAAGTTGAACCAGACGTCAGGGGGTATTTTGCTGTCCACTGTTCAAGTGTTTGAACCAGGTTTTCTCCAGTCTGAACTGCCCTACTCATGAGACTATTATCCCCCGTTAAAATTTACCACGAGGTATTTCCTACCTGGATTCCGTAGCCGTAGCTCATTTTCATTTTGCTCGCCTTACGTGATAAAAATGTTCGACACCAACCTGGAACGGTCTTAGTATCAGGAAGTAACCCCAGAATGCTGAGAACCTACTGAGACCGTAAAACTCCACCAGAATCTCAATAGGGAAGCCGGTAGGCATCCAGGCCACTCAATCATTCAACCGATTTAGCAAAAGCCAATGAGTGTTCAGGCACGACACAGACGCATGACCGAAATGTGATCAGCATTCAGGCATTTCACGGAAGCACGATTGATGTTGATGGGTGTTCACTAAACGCCTATCAGGCAACCTGGATCAATATCACAAAGTGCCCGTTAAATAGTGGGGGGCCGTTGCGACTTTTACAGTTGCACACACTCACTAGCTTGTTCGGAATGTGGCTGTTGTGTTCCCCTATGAGTGTTTTCCTGCACTAGGCACTGGAGTTGAGTCAGCACTAGATACAACACTTAGCTCCAAGATACTCCCATTAGTATGTAACAGCATACCGAATAGGTGGTTGCATCTACATATTCAGCATTGATTTCGTCTTCCTTCTTAATCTAGGGTTGGGCAACCTTTAAGTACCCCAACCCTCGTGCTTTCTTAGGATGGTATGGCAGCTAGGCACCGAAAGGGTGCCAGAGCTGAATGATTTTTTCCCTTCAAAATCAGAACCAGTCACCTTGTCTCGCATCATTCTGTCTCTAAACAGCGCTTCCAAAGTGTGTAAACGGTAGGACGCTCCTGAAAGACTGAGTCTGTAAGCCTGTCAGGTCGACCGTACCTGAATGATAGTTTCAGTTTTCTGTATAGGAACAGAATTTCAGTACATGGAACACTATGGTATGGTACGCAACGTACATTCACTGGCGAAAAGCGCAGAACTACCAGTGACTCAGTGGGCCATAGATTAGTACACTTTCTTTTCACAGCTTCAGAGACCGTAGAAGGTTCATCTGACCAGGCAGCTGAAACCTTCAAGCTCAGTTTTGCTTCTCTATCCAGTTGCTACCTAAGCTACAAATAAACTGAAAGGAAGGAACTTACCGATTCAATTGCGGTCCTGCTGTAGTTGGCAAGCGTTTTAAGGGTTGTTTTCGCGTAGCGTAAGCCGCCATCTTGGTCAGTCATCCACAGTGTTATTGAAAAAACATATTGCCAGGGGGTGACTGCATGACGTACGCCATAGCATGAAATCATGTGAATGTCACGTGCGCGCGCAATCGCACAAACCCACGTGATTGTGCCAGTGTGGTGTGGGTAGTTCACTGTCTCGACAATGGGGTAGTTCGGACGGTCAGTGCAGGCCATTTTGGAGTCAGAGATACAGCATCGTACAGTGTGCGTTCGACTGTTTTAAACAAAAGCTGGAACTGCATAACACATAGGATTGGTGGGAAATTGAAAAATACGATCTGTCAGAAACCAGCAGACACAGGAACCGTCTTAAACTACTTATCAGCACACTAAAAGTCCGCGTACGCCAGTATTATCGTGGAGTCAGTGCGCTGTGCACGGAAGAGATCGGTTGAACGGCAGCTCAAATCGAGATTGCAAACAGACTTCAAGAAACAGGATACCCAGTGAGTTTGGTCAAGCGTGAACTAAGAAAGATATTGGCTTTGGTATCTAAACCCAGCAGTCGTTCCATATAAAGCAGGGACGTCGGAGGTTATTCGAAGATTTTTGAACTCGGTCAACATTCCGGTAGGTTTCCAGAAGGGAAAAACGCTACGCCCAGTTTTGATGCAATTGGAAGATCCCCTGCCGGTTGAAAGGACTAGGGACTATGTGTATAAAATTAACTGCAACGATTGCACTAGGGTTTATGTGGACAAACTGCCAGGGGATGGCACACCAGAATTGGTGAGCATAAAAGAAGAGTAAACAAACCACCAAGGAATGCAGAAGAATACGAAGCGCTGATCAAAGACTCAGCGATAGCGGTACATGTTTTAGACACGGGACATAGAATAGATCTGGATAATGTGGAAGTTTTATGACGGGGACTGCGATTCACACCACAGCCGTTGATAGCCGAGGCGGTGGAAGTTACGAAGCATCACAGCGTGAGTAGAATCGAGGGTGTGGAACTGGCGAGCGTATGGATAGCGGTCTTAGATAAGCCGAGCTGACACATGACTGTGTGTGGTTGTCAATCCACGTAGAATCACTATCAAAATCCGGGGGTGGGGTGGAAATTCCAACCCGACCAAAGGTCACAGCATCCATCTTACACAACTATCTTAGCACTAGCTCATCCACACAGACGGACAGAAGGTTCAAACGAAGTTCAAGAGGGATCATTGTAGTGGTCTGGCTACCCAATAAGTTAGTTTACCAGGAGTGTGTGGCAAAGAAATAAAAATAACTACGCTAGATTGGGTATACAAAAATAAAGAGATCAGATGGAACAGACTCACTAAAAATTGTTCTCTTTAAAATAGTTCGTCGTTGGCCCAGGTCAGCGAATAAACAATAATCCAATTATGTTGGTCCAGAGGTCTTCTTCTGAACAGTTCCCACATATAATAGATTCCGAAGATGTCTGAAATGTTTTGGTACCAGAGTTAGTACATGAGACTCGCGAATGACCGCTGCAAGCGCGAACGAAATCAGAAGAGAGAGTCGAAGCGCGTGACCACGCTTGTATTCTATGAAACTGTAACAGTGCGCGTTTTTTGTAGCTTTTCCTATTTAAACGAAAAACGATTATGCAATTGATGAAATACGTAGTGTTATAATGGAAGTAAAATAAAGGTACAATACGCCACATCATCAAGTGGACCGAACCAGAATAGCTAGACCCTAGGCTGAATCCATCGGCCCAACACTTGTTCACCCACCCAAACACACAAAAATCCATCGGCTGACAGCCAACAGTGATTTAACTTGACTTAAGTAAGTGGTTCACCTTCATCCTTAAATCTCGACCAACCTCGGTACCTAGTACATCAATAAATCCGCCGATTGTTGCCAAACTTTTCCGAAAGCTAGGAATAAGTCTAAACCCGTTTTGTTATGAAAAGTTATTAAATACTGCCTCCTAATAATTCCTGCCAGACAGCCTCTTTGAAAAACTGGAACAGTCAAAATGACTGCCAACGGACCAGTTCGTTGAAACGAAATTGGATCGATATCACTTGCTTCTCATTGATCCAGCGAATGACGAGTCTTTTTGCAATTTATGAAGTTACGATATTTCCACTGACAATTATGCTCCGCAAAACAATGTGGTCTATTCCCCTGCAGTAACGCTTTTCTGGGAGGCTTCCTTGAGGAAAACCGGTGTTCCGCCTATCCTGACGTCTTGTCCTCTAATTAGATGTAAGCGAATAGTCTGTCTGCAGAGAAGTCTGATTTGTAAGGTGAGTGCAATGAGTTTTATCTCCTTCAGCAAGAGAAACCACGAAAATGTCCTTCTTTAGAAAATCGCTAGCAACCGCTGAGTAATTTTTCAACAGTCAAATTAAATATCTTTGAAGTATGAATCCGTTAACTACAAGTCTGCTTTACGACACGGATAATTAGTTACAGGCAGAATCTGGATATCAGTGTATCCTGTCGTTCTGTCAAGTATAAGATACTGAAATCTGAAATTAGAAATAACATCTGAACTTAACCAGACCCGAATTTACTCAGAAACCATTGATTGAATAATCAAGAAGCACGCACTGGTGTGATGAGTCTGATAAATACTTGTGTTTTTCCATAACGAAAGGGTGAAAAATTATGTAACAGCAACCAGGTAAGCCTTGTGAACAATCCCTCAAGGTTTACACAGAGAATGTTCTGTCTTCTTCATTCCTTGCACACAAACCAGCTGACGTTCGGTACCCCTGTTGGCGACAGTGTTAAGAAAACTGGGACACATACCAATGATAGCAGAAGCTGAGATCCGTATCGATTGAGTTACTGTATGTTTCTAGTCAAACTGCCTTCACTCTCTCCTCGACCTATCACATTCCTTTGCATTCATCCAATGTCTAGTTAGGCGTTAGATGCAACCAGAGCGACCACTCAAAGGGTAAAACCCAGCTTGCGTTTGTTCATTCAACTCATATCATATACGAATGTCGTTCTTGGGTACTGTGACGGGACTTGTGCTTCTACGTGAGTCTCTTTTTGATTAGTGGTAGACACATTGCGGTTCTTCAGTGAGCTAGCTTCAAACTCCGTTATTTTGAATTCTAGATGGATGAATACTTCACAGCTTCTGTTCATACAACAGTCATCAGTATTACTGTTAGCTCAGCGCCAAACAAGTTCTGCCTGTTTCGATGTCTAGTTAGGCGTTAGATGCAACCAGAGCGACCACTCAAAGGGTAAAACCCAGCTTGCGCTTGTTCATTCAACTCATATCATATACGAATGTCGTTCTTGGGTACTGTGACGGGACTTGTGCTTCTACGTGAGTCTCTTTTTGATTAGTGGTAGACACATTGCGGTTCTTCAGTGAGCTAGCTTCAAACTCCGTTATTTTGAATTCTAGATGGATGAATACTTCACAGCTTCTGTTCATACAACAGTCATCAGTATTACTGTTAGCTCAGCGCCAAACAAGTTGTGCCTGTTTCGTCGAGAAACTAATGAGTTTGTAGACGTGTGTCCGATGTGGAACGCAAGAAACGGTGATACAGCCACGTTAACAGAGCTAGTGTTACCATACCTAAAGGTTAAACAGAATATTTGAGAGGTCAACTGTTTTAATGATGTAGATCACAAAGTACTATTTCGGCCATCTAAGACAACTTTAAATGAGCTGCCAGACCCCGTGTTGACAACAAGTATGCATGATATATGAGAATCAATTGGAACTGATTACATTTGTCTCGAAATTACCTGGGCTGAAACAGACAACTACAGGGTGCCCCATAATAGACGCGAAAAACAATATTCATGTTAAAACTTTAACACCAATTTAAACTTTATTATTTTTTATATAACCATACGTGCATTATGGAGGTTTGCTGTAAACGAACTGGTGTTTCATAATACGGTGCACGCTGGCGCGGGGAATGCCGGTCAACTGAGACACTTGAATTATTGACGAAGATGCCATGGTGCTCTGGGACTAAAGTTGCTCGACGGCATTCTGTACAACGGGCGTCCTTTCATCACTCAGAGACTTTCTTCCTTTGCCAGAAAAATCTAGTACAGATCCAGTGGACTCAAATTTCGCAATCAAGCGTGAAAGGATCTTCGGTGAGACCACGTTTGGTTTTGTAACCACGAAGTGCAGCGGTGACGCTTTCACCGAAGGAATAATAGAGTTTCACAATTTCAATGCGCGTACTGACATCCATCGTAGACAACAAAAATGGTAACACTTGCGTATAAAACCTTCTTTATGTAGCTAAAGCAAAAATTTCGTTGTCTTTTCTTTAACCTGATAAGTTCAATTGCTTAATTAAATTTTGCGTCTATTATGAGACACTCTGTACAAGCCTCCTCCTGAAAAATCAGTGGCTACTTCTTCGTTACACCCGAATAGCTACAGCTCTTGACGGTTAGTTCATTCTCCGAGGTTGGGAATCAGTTTGTCAACGTTTTGACACCAATGCAACGCACAAGGTAAATGAACAAGGCAGGCAAATGACAAAATGTCAAGCTTTTCAAAGAGACTGGACTCCAATACGTACTTCGTTGCGCTTTTGTCTCCTGTTATGTGAGAGCACAACCACATTTCTTAACCAGCTGCATCTGGTTGCGTACTCATCAAGCGAATTGTGGAGGGAACCCGTGAACTTTCGTTCCATTTCAGCTCACTTCACGAGCAGGACTAATATCTATTCGGTTCACGCATCATACATGTGCATAGTTTAATCGTCTGCCCTAGGCTTAGATGAATCCCTGGGGGAACGAACTACTCAACATAGGCATGATCATTTTTCGGCCGCGATTTCAGAGGTACTGCAAGCACATGGTGATACATAGTATGCTCTCGGGTGGTTGCGCGAAGGGTAAACTTGGCTTGAACATGTGTGGACCAGATGCATGGGTCGTGGTGCCAGAATTACGAAGGATGTTTGGTGTGAAGGCTGATTCGTTATGCTAAAAAGCTTTGAAGAATGGCAACACCCTTCAGGGAAAACCTGAGAGAGGCTCACTTGAATCTCAGCTGAATCTCAAAGTTGTGATATTCTCCGCTTAAGCCTGCAAGACAAAGGTCATGTCATTTTTCAGTTGGTACGATACTCGAGATATCCACGCATCTTTTCTGGAGGGAAAACTATTTATGATGCTGCTGAAAGATATTCGATATCCCAAGACCGGTTTCTCTTTTCTCCGAGGTCAAAATGTAAATGCAGTCCCTGATTTTCGTCAACCGTTACTGAAACAACTGGTGAGTAGCATGTCCATCCTAGAAGTTGTCTTGCAATACCTGGAGCATCGTACCAACCGAAATACGGGGCGACATTTGTGCGGCAGTTGAAGAATATCACAAGAGAGATTCAGTTGAGTATCTCATTAATATCAGCCTAGTTTGCGACCAACTGCTTGTTCCAGTAGAACTCGNAACCGAAATACGGGGCGACATCTGTGCGGCAGCTGAAGAATAGCACAAGAGAGATTCAGTTGAGTATCTCATTAATACCAGCCTAGTTTGCGACCAACTGCTTGTTCCAGTAGAACTCGGGCACTGTACCCACCCAAAACAGTGTGAAACCAGTAGTGGACTCTCGAGGCTTCTTCAGCAACCAAATGCGTAGTGTGTTTCGTTGACTTTGTTTCTAAAACATGAGTATGAAACCAACTGGTGGTCTATATTCGCTGTCTTCTAACAAGGGAAACCACTTTGGAAAAAATGTTTACACGTAGGTCTACAGTCCAATAAACTCTAGACACCCTGTTCATCCAATGTGACCTCTCTCTGTTTACTTGGTCTGTACTTTCTGCAGCAGACTTTCGAGGGATGAATGTTACTTCCCCCTTAAAACAGATGATAAAAATGAGATGAAATGAAAAGATATCTTGAGCGTAATGAACTAGAAGAACGGATACTTGGTACAATCAGTGTTATGCATCACATAAATTTCGATCATACTATAATTTTGTCATTATTGATCGTCACTAGACAGTGCGTGACCACAGGTTGTGGTCTCCGTGTTTGAAGGGGCGCTATGTCCGAACTGGCCGAACGCTTGAGTGTTCAAGCTATTAGCCGAGAGGTCGCGGGTTTCAGACACCTCGGATTTATTAGTGCCCTGTTGATGATGGCTATAACACAAATCAGAATGTGTATACACTAATAAAGGTTTTTAGTATATTTGATAATGGTGAGATGCCACAGGTATAAAAATAAATACAATGCAAAATGGGAGCAAGTCAAAAGAGGAAATTATCGTCTGTGAGAGTTCCTTGGTGAACGTGTTTTCTCCTCAGTATGATCGCTACACATGTTCCATAATTGTCCGTGGACTTGTGGAGAGTGGTTGACCTCCTAATCCCTGCGTGCGCGCGCGAGTCTTTGTGTGCTGACTGCTTTCGGTTTCCCTATATGTAGGGCCGTTTGCGTGTACGTGGGACGCGTCAGCACGTGAGCTGTTGTTACGCTCACTAGACGGTACAGACAATCGATTTCCGATGAGTCACCATAATGTGACGTGATTTGTGAGTATGAAAAAAGACGAGTGAGCAACTGGGAGCTGAACAGTCAAGTATGTGGGTGACCGGGTAGATACAGATTTCCGTGAGGTTCTCATTGTTGATGATTCCCAATAAGGATGAGTCCACGGCACAGCGCTTTTTCGGTTTTACTGAAAGAACGAAGTGTCATTTGAAAATTACCAGCCCACCTCTTACTGCCGTCAGCTTGTCATACCCTTCTCATTCCGGTTCTTGGTAAATGGCCTAAGTAAAAGGATCGATCAGTGGCAGTGTCTTCTGGAGATTCAGCCCTTCAGAGAGGGATTTAACTGGTCAGTAAGATAGCAGAGGACCTATCAAGAGTAGTTTAGACTTGCAAGAAAGTTGTCTAAAAGAAGAAACTCGCTTGGTGTGCAGAAATATGGTAGCTAGTGATTTCATCGCAGGCAGTTTTACTAAATGTGGTGTGCTGACCCTTCTGAAAGATGTCTTCCAACACCAAATGGTTCATTTCTTCCTCGGAAGAATTGTTCACCCGCAAAACGCAAACGATATTCCAAAGTTCCTTTATTGTGCTTTCTGGAGATAACTATGCTATTGGTTTTTCCTGTGTACTGCTTGTTGAGAGTTTACGTTTCCAATCCGTATCTGCTTCCCATTACACTTCTCAGTTTTCGTCGCGACTGCTATCGACAACCCATCGAGGCTTCCGGAAGGAATACTAGCTGAAAGATCTAGTGAAGAAAGTGTCCGAAAATGGTACTTTATTGGCGGATCTGTGCCCGGTATCGTGGAGAAATCACCCGAGGATATTTGCAAAGAACCTTCGACAATGCCCGATTTAATTCGTACGTTTGATTGACTGCCTTATTCGAACAAACGTTTGATGTTTGCAAAAGGCACAAATAACAAATGACAATTTATAGCAGTATTGATTTAGGTGAAGTAGAGCACGATACGGTGACCTGAATACAAGTTTCTGAATCTTGAATATGGCATACCTCCTTGAACATAGGGACTGGGTAGCGATCGGTACCAACGTTTCTTTGTTACCGCGAAAAAAACGTACGCAACTACTACTGAAAGGAAGAAGGCCTTCACCGCGGAGTTATCTATTAGGAAATGCCAACTGACTATTAGACAGAGAAGCAAAACTCTCATTTGCATCTTATTTACAAAAACTGGACATCCATCCTCTCCTGAACGCGTCTTCTTGAATTTTCCTGGATATTCATTGACTCCAATCATTCATTGCTCAAATCTAAGCAAATGTTACAAAGCGACTCCACAAATTCCCCTTTTCAAGAGAAGCAAAGCGAAATTTCAAGAACAACATATACTACTCGCATGCCTCCCCATTAGTAGTCTCACCGTTACACTACAACACAAACCCATATGAAGGCCGTACCATTACGGTGACCTATTTTTCCATTCTCTCGTAATTATTTATACTTGGAACAGTTTGAAACACTGTACAAAGACTGTACACCCCTCTGCCAGCATCCTCTGATGCATACATTTGTCAGTAGCAGTAGTATCAGTAGTAGTATCTATCTGTTTTTATGCATATTTGCCGATTTTTCGCCCCTCTCCCTTCGCACAGCACCCAAATCGGTTATGTTATATAGAATCGTACTTTCACAGTAAAAGTCGGATAGCCTTGCGTTTGCTGCCAAAATATCCATCTTCTGCTCGTGAGTTGATGAGTCTAGCCACAAATTCCCGGGGATTCTCATAGAAGTGAGACAGCTTGTGCTGACCTACCCACCTGACTGACAGTGGTATGCCATTCGACATGCAGGCCAGTCGGGGCCCCACCCCTGTGGCAAGCATACGTACGTTAACAACCGTATGCAGTATCGATGCTCATGTTTCATCAGGAACGCCGCAAGTGCTGCATATGTACTCAGTGCTGCGTGCGGTTTTGTCTGAATGGTATTAGGGGCTCACCAAAGCATAACAAGGAGTGTTAAAGTTTCGCCCTTCTTAGGACTCATCATGTAGGCGCAGCCCCCGAGTTTCCGTCAACCTTATGTCCTACTTGAACCCAAATTGGACTTTTTTTCGAGAAATACACTCATTTGCAAATTGATTTGGTTTCCTTTATGAAAATATACTGCGATATGTCGAATATCGTGCCAACTGAATCATGAGGCGGCCTGTGTGCAGCACATTCAGTTATAGAATATCCTAAACGAGAGAATCAGTTGAGTCTCTCGTGAAAACCAAATTGATTTGGAAATGAGTGTATTTCTCGAAAACCGTCCGATTTGGATCCTAGTAAAACATAAGGTTGACGGCAACTCCGGAATGCGCCTACCTGATGAGCCCCAAGAAGGGCGAAACCATCCGTGGGATGTCGAAGAGTTTTCAGCAACTTTGTGAGTAGTTTCCCTTATTAAGGAATGATAAAGTTGTGTAATTTGACGATACCTGATCCACACAATACATATGTTGCTTCACACGTCACCTGGCACGAATAATATTGTGAATCGTAAGTTCACAGCTGTTTGCAAGTAAACTCTTGTTTTGTGGCTTTGTTTGTTCTCGTGGTCCAAGTTGTTTGTACAGATCGATTTTTTTAAAAAAAGATGAAGTCATCCGTATTTTTACTTGACGAAAAGTAACAGGACATGGCGACTCAAGCTGAAGACTTAAGCTCGTAGACTAAGTCACCAAGCGTTCATTGCAGTGAAGCAAATTCATTGCGTCCATCGCGATCGACCTTAGTCGCTGCTGAAGTTGTTTCTCACTTAGAAAGACTTTCTAAAGAAATCGGTAGGATATTTGGTCGGGCTTGGGTGAGGATTGAACTTCATTTCATCAGTCAGCACAAACAAGAGATGCATGATACTCGAATTTCGGCCTCTTTGGGACTTATCAGTAGTGCATACATACCCTTGATCCTGTCAGTATCTGAAATCCGAACATCTGACATGCATGTCATGTGAATTACCTACTCACCATAAAATAGAGTTGAAGGTACATCGGGCTACGACCTTATAAGTGCAGACAAGATAGAAATTTTAACCTGAAAACACTTTACACAAAGTTTTAAATCATAACTCCTGTAATGACTGTGAAGAAACACTGTATTCACCTTCATTCAATGAATGACTTCACTCAAACCGTGGTATGAGTATTTCTATCACCTACGAGTGGGATAGCAACAGTCTGTGGCCAGCAATCCTCACTGTTAATCTTGGTTACCAACCCGTTCCTTCATTCACGAATAGAATACATCAAACTGATGATCGGTTTCAAGCGTACCATATTGGACACTGCAACTCTGGTCTCTCCGTTAGTTTAGCTCCGCTGAATTGCTGTTTTTCAGAGACGTACGCCCTGGGACGCCAAACTTAGTACGCTGAATACATAAATTCAATTCATGAACAGGCGGGGGTTCACACACCTAAACGAGATCTAATTTCCCGAGATCTCTCTCATTGGTCGTCCCTGGCTTGGTGCCAGGGCTCCCGACGACCTATTCGGGAGTGCACCATACAAAACCATCTATAGTCTGGAATCAGAATGAGTCTTTCAAGCTGGGTGACTCCCATAAAAGAGCTAACGGGGAAATTGCTCTTTTCTGAGAACAGAGTGGCCTGCTCTGGAGAAGTTAACACACTAAGTCAGGATTAGTGACTCTTCCAGAAAATAGACCCTGTCTGGGGAGCAAAATATAAGGCTTTCTAAATTTCGAGCGCACTTTACGCCCAAGTTTAGTTAACTGAAGTCGTTGGTGACAGCTCAGAACCATCACTTTTATGAAACAGTGGTCGGAAACACCATGCTTTAAACTAAGAATCAAGTACAATTTGGTTTATAAACACTGGTTCTCTTTCGGTTTCCTTCACATATTTTCCCACAGACAATTAACCTCGGCATTACTTTGAATTCGAATCATGCTATTTTTGAACTAATCGGAATGATCGCATTAGGATAGGGTGAGAACGGTTAGGATTCAATTATTTCATTCATTCATTCATTCATTCATTCATTCATTCATTCATTCATTCATTCATTCATTCATTCATTCATTCATTCATTCATTCATTCATTCATTCATTCATTCATTCATTCATTCATTCATTTATTTATTTACCCCACTGATTCCAGTACTTCCTAAACAGCCGGAACTATCTCGATCTGCCAGTGACGTTTCCGTGGATTGGACCCATAGCTGGCCATGCGGGGCATCTGTGTACAATATACAGTGGGACGATCATCGTGGAAATGTTAACTATGAAACGATTGATGGAAATACTACTCGTTTCACATTAGCAAACATTTCCGGTTGTGTGATTTTGGACGTTTGCGTGAACGCCTTGTTTGCCGATGGAGTTGATGGAAAAGTGTGTAAGCTGAATTGGAAAACTGAAAAGGGTGAGCAGACATTTTACACTATTTGGTCATATGATATTTTTCACAAAAGAACGACGACAGAAGTGTTGAAAATAGTGGACACGGTTGTCCATTGTACTCAAGAGGTGAGATTATAATGTCTTATTCGACGACGTTGGCTTTGAGCCGTCCAGAATAACCGTTCTTCTAAAACACCCTTTCGGGGTTTACTTGCCGTGCTCAAGCCTAGACGGAAGCAGTCAAGATGTTGAAATTGGGTTCGAACCGCGGAACTTCCACTAAGTAATTACCCACTATCAGGAAGGTCAGCTTCCTGAAAGCAGCCACTGAATGTCCGAAAACTACCGAGACTCTCAGCTCCGCTGGATGTTGACCAGACAGATAACACCGCTTCAACATGCAGCGCTTCACAGCCCTGTATCAGAGCCAGACCGTGTGCGTCAGCATTGGACTAAGTTCAAACATTATCCTTCCAATAAATAGTTTGAGAACGTTGTACTTTTCGCACTAGCACGCACTCACGTTCTCGCACTCGCTTGTTCGGAATATAGCGGTTGTGTTCTCTTCTGAGTCTTTTTTCAGCAACTAGGCACTGGAGCGGGTCAGCTGCAGAAACCACAGATTGACGAATCGGCAGATATAACACCCACCCTAACCATCGAGCTACCGCGTCCCCAAGTGTTTGAGATGACCGACACCGTGAGACACGCAGTCGGGCGAAAGCTACGCGAGGTGGACCGTCAAGGGTGGAAAAGTGAGCAAACCAAACCGCGAAAGCCACTGACGATAAGCTGCCTGAGTAACCTATGTCACAGTTGTCTATTTGGTATCGAAACCTGGGATACGTTCCACAAAACTGCTAGTAACACAACAATGCAGCTGGAGAGGAGTCAAGCGCGAAGCCGGCTCCCTTTCGGGATTATTCTGCCAAAGTCTACTGAGATGTTGACTTGAAAAGCAAGCCTACAGCCAACACAACAACAGAATCATAGTTGGATAAAACAACCGATCGTTCACTGACACTTTTGCCTGTTCGTTCATTTTTTGAGATGTAGATTACACCGACTATGCAGTATAGTAAGGGGGGGGGGGGTAGAATATTAAATGAGCCTAAATCGTGGGGCTGAATGGAAACGGGAGAGTTGGACGTAGTAAGCTTCTACTTAGCAGTCGGTTAGATTCGATTTACGGGTGAGATCGGTCTTAAACGAACATCTGACATTCAAGTTGGTAAAGAGGAAATCCACGTCAGCGGGGAACCTCGCTAGCACCTTTCCAACTGTGACAAAGTTCAGAAAATTCAAACAAGCGACGCTGACTTGGGCTTTTTCAGACTGAGTCGAACAGATCAATCAGTCAAGGGACCAACTTGTGGTAAGCGAAGTTCTTCATGTTCGAAAACATTTTCAATGTTTTGTCCGTTTTCTATACCTTAGAATTGAGTTCTGAATCGGCATTCTGTACCGACCAGCTCATTTATGAAGCACCAGTGGTCTCACTGCCCTGGTCCAGACAGAAACTAAACTGCTGTTATGCAATGAAAAAGGCAGAAACTATCAGTAAGGTTACATTCCTGAGAGCAACCACTGAATGCCCGGAACCTAGTGAGACTCTTAGCTCCGCTAGATGTTGACCAGATAGACAACACCCTCTCAATATGCAACGCTCCACAGCCTTGTATCAAACCTAGACAGCGAGAGTCAGCGTTGCTCAAGGTCGGACAACGCCCCCGCACTATGCAGCGCGTCGCAGCCTCGTATCAAAGCCAGACTGCGTGAGTCAGCATTGGACCATGTTAGACAGTATCCCCCCAATAAATAGCTTGAGACCGTTGTACATTCGCACTCGCACGCACTCACGCGCTCGCTTGTTCGGACTATGGCTGTTGCGTTCCCTTCTGTAAGTCATTTTTCTCCGGCATCAGGCACTAGAGCGGGTCAGCAGCAGATAGCACAGATTGGCGAACCAGCAGATATAACAGAAACCGACCACGGCACATTTGTGTTAGAATCACAATGGCCCATTTCAGATTGCCCCATTCCACCACTTAGGTCGTATGAAATCTCTTCTAAAAACAGCAAGAAACTGTATCGTATTCGCGCAGGTGTGTTGTCCAACTACCACAAAACCCGGACCACTGAGCGGAAATCGATACCGGACTGTCAGGTGCAAGAACTTCATTTATGTCATGCAAAGTCGGCTAAACAAAAGCCCATAACTGACTCCCAGCTCAGGGACCGTGACTGAGCCAAACTTCTGATACTACCCTAGTTTACAAGAAAAAACCCAGAGTAGTTGCAATGAATGAAGCAGTCAACCTATGTTTTGTGCCCAATTTTTCTCGTCATCTTGTGAGGTGCTATTCGTACGCGTTTACACAGGGGGCCGATGAGAAAATTTCATCGGTGGAAACACAGGCAACCGTTGGCAGTTTTTGTTTATCAGCTGTAAACCATGTCCTAAGACTAACGCTTCGGAGATATCCATGGCTAAACAAAGCAAGATTTCGTACATCCTCGGCCATTTCCGATCCGTAAAGCATAATGGGACATGCGGCCACAGTATCTACACACAACCTGACGTTGTGCCTGGGGTGTGGATGTCTGTGGTTGGTAAAAGCTGCCACGAAATTCTCGATTCGAGAAGTGATCTCGTCTCCAGCCAGCCACCGGGACTTATGCAAATGCTCAGCTGAGTAAATTTATCTACGAATCGATTGGACGGTCGACAAGCATAAGGTGTGTGTTTGATTCCATAGACTTGTAACGCCACTCTAGGTTTCTGCAGTTCCAAAGGGTCTGATCCAAGGTGGCGATATCATCAGTATCCTCGATGTTTGTGAGTATTTCAACCCCCAAAGTTTCAGAGACAAGCAGAGGAATTTCACGCAGCATGGTAATAGTAAAGTCGAAAAGGAAGGTGAGAGAGAGACCTTTTCTCACACCATTGGATGTGGAGGACTCAGGCGAAAACTTACTGTATCCTCATAAAGGGAACTACTCACAAGGTTGCTGAAAACACTTCGACAGCTCACGACCGGTTTCGTCTTTCTTGGTGCCCATCAGGTAGGCGCAGTCCCCGAGTTCCCGTCAACCTCATGTTCCACTTGAACCCAAATCGGAGTGTTTTCGAGAAATACACTCATTTGCAAGTCAATTTGGTTTTCACTAGAGACTCAACTGAATCTCTCGTTTATGATATTCTATGATATTGAAAGTAAGTAGGGGATCAACCATAACGAGAAGTGCGACTGGATTGACTTTAATCACCTGTTAAAACCAACCTAGCTTGCGGTTGAGTGCATTCCGCACACTGTGGTCTTCTGATAGGGAGTGAGATCTATGTAAACTCAGAAACTGCAAGTGCTTAATGAGCCCCACGAAGAGCAAAATGGGTAGTGCGTACCTGAGAAGGGTTGAATCAAGTCATAAGGTACCCGATTTCAAGTTCACTTTATCAAATAACTGGTGATTCATCCGATTGCATAATAAAATCTTTGATGGCGAATAGACACTCATTTGCAAACTAATTTGGTTTCCTGAAACCCAGCTGAATCACTCGGTTTTGATGTTTCTAGGCACTACTCATAAGGTTGCTGAGGAGTTTTCAGCAACTTTATGAGTAGTGCATTACAATAATCTTTGCTAGTTAGAAAGCAGTAGTGGTTGTCCTTGCTCTGTGGTTTTCGCCGGTAAAAAAACTTCAGGCCATCATTCGGTCCAGTCCTCATACACTTTTGACTCACATTGAGGCCAAATTACAAATTCGTGATCGACCGCTTTCATGATTAAAATCCTGGGGAGTCATCGGAATGAAGCGGCAGTGGTGTGCATAATATTATGTATATAGTGTTCAAGTCTGTAGAAGACATATGGCTTTGTGTCAGTGTGGAGGTGAATGAGAGAGGTGGAATCCTTATGCTTCTAGATCACCGAGCATACCAGAAGGAGTTCGAGACGTACATTTTTTGCAATAGATGGTTCACAGACTTTGTGCAACTCATTGACAACTTTGTGGAATTTAGGTAGCTCGAGTGCGTTGCTTTGTTGCTGGTCTGTTCACCGAGCTTGGCAGTTGGATTGAAAACGTTCCATCACCAATCGAAGTGATATCGTTAGTGCGGGTTTGAGTTGATCTCAGCTCAACCCAGATCAAATGACTTCTTCATAGCTAGTTCCATCATTTGCTGTCCCAACAACCAATGCGAACGTATATATTCCGGAAACATCGGGTTCCATGAGGAGGAACAGGAAATGGGGAACGATGAGGAAAATGAGTCGTGAATGCTTGAGTGAGTTGGGCTCGAACGACAACGGTTAGATCAGGAATCCACATGAAATCAGTGTTCGAACCCACATGTGTTTGAGAATGTTGGAAGGCTCTCTGAGGATTTGGAATAGGGGAAATTATAGGGAGAAGAGGCATACGTATTCTGTTCACTGACCTTTCAAGGGTAAGGTCCGATTTCGATCCACGACACTAGGTGCCTCCTTGCAGGTGACAATCAGAAATCCATCTAAACCTGCAGGACACTGTGTAACCTGCTCCCACGTGTACAATGAACCCAGCTAGGAACTCGACTATGGTCGGCTGTGGTGCCATCATCCTTAGTCAACTGTACGAAAAAGATTATTTTTCTGAATCTCAAGAAATATTGTGGAGGCTCTAATGAACAGCTACTTACCTCCAATTCGGCACGTTGCTTCTCCTGAATGCCTTCGCGTTTGCCTTAAACCACTGTGATGTGCTTGCGACACTCAACATGGGAATTAATGTCGTTTTTAACAAGCGAATCGTCTAGCAAGACGCGATGTTCTTTCGAGGCTGCGACTAAAACTTTGCTTAGCGAAGGAAGGGTGGAGACGAATTAGCAACACCAGGAAATCCTTCTGTTCATGGAGTTTTTATCACCTAACGAACGAACTCTTGTCCTGCTCTAATCGTCGCTGACTTAAAAACAAGATTTAGGAAATTCCACAGACGCGGACAACCAGTAAATTATCAACACACACATTATGGCGCCCCGCATCAACCACCAGAAATTCAATTCAACGGAATGCCGCCACAAAAGGCTGTACGATGAGACCTTCTAAGCAGCGATTCCTTGAGAACATTTTAATGAAACACATTGTCTTCAAGAGTATCTATTACGCTGGAAGAAGCTTTCACTTTGGGATGTGGGATAAATCAGGAATGCCCCGTTCGGTATGAACCAAAANACTTGGTTGGACTTTCTGAAGGAATATTCAAAAAATTGTCTCAGGGTCCGAAAAACGAGCAGAGAGGCGCACAAAATACGAATTCTGTTCGTTTCATGTACCAAAATGGAGTACAAAGAGGAAGAGGAGACAATGACAGGGTGTCTGGGATAAATGCGTCCGCCTGAAAGGCTAAGATACCCGACTAATCATCCGTGGAAGTTTGCCTCAATTTTTTGTGCAAAACACGTGATATAAAGTCCAAAGCAGAAACAAAAAAATCGTTCAGCTGTAGTACCCTTTCGGTGCCTAGCTGTCATGCCACACGAAGAAAGCACGAGGGCTGGGATAACGCCAGGTCGCCCAAGCCTAGACAGGGGAAGTCGAGTGGCAGAGGTCGGGTTCAAACCACGGACCTTCCAATCAGTAATTTCGCGCTCTAACCACTAGGGCCATCTCGCCTCCGGAAATCGGCTAACGAGGACGGCAAGAAAGTGATGCCACCAGTCTGAAAAACGCATAACCATGAGGTTTTATTCAAAGGCGAACACCTGACTTTGTAGATGGGATACCAGGGTTTTTGGTGGGTTCTGTTGAATCCGTCCCTAAAATAGGTCGCTTCTCCGACTCATTGTCCCTGAGTCCAATTACTTAAATGGTATTAGTTGGACGGAACTGAAAATAATTATTTCATACTCAGAGTCATTCCTTTGAGCCACCAGACATTTGTTTCTTACTCAATCTTATTTTAACCGTTTGTAGACATACAACGTCCGGAGGAAGCCTATTGTGGACAACTTCAAGATCGGTACGTTGCTCAGGACGCTGAGATACTAGGTAAGCTTAGATTTTTTTAATGTGCCCCGTACTCTACTGATCAACAGGACGTAACAGGTCACACTCACCTAGCGACCCAACCAGGTGGCCCGACTCCGGGCCATCTAGACTACGACAAATGCTCACATGAGTTACAGAAGTCCTTATTTCCTGAAGAGAACTTCATGCCGTTTTAGTTTTCAGCAACTGTTCTAAGAAACGACTGAGTGCAAAATGAGAGAACATCACAAAAGAACTGCCACTCAACTGGCGGCAGTACCTTGAAGCTGATGAACATTCTGGCATTTTGTCAACTTTCTTCCTCATGGTGTTCGCACAGCGTATCCCCTAGACGTTTCTGTAGATACACAAGATGTCTTTCTTTGAAAACAAAAGTGTGGTAAGAACAAAAAGTACGTATACAAATCAAGGGGGTTTTGTTGTGTGTATGTAAACACTCTCCACCTTCACATGGTTCTGTCTAAATACTGAAAAAACCGAATCCTTTGTTGGTGAAATTGTCAGTCTTCACACTGATTTTATCATGGGCTGAAATGCTCCATCAGGAGAACCAGCTCCGAATGTAACGGAACTACATAACAGCCAATGGAATAACCGTTTCTATCGTTGGGACAAATTTCATTGGCTGTTCTTAACTCGTCCTTGACAGATGAGTTGTAATCTTGGTATCACTTTTTTGACCCGCTAGTACGCGACAGTGATCAATAGAGCAGCTGGCTTGCACGTTCGTTGACTTTTTTCTGGTCTGGTCACGTGCACCAGGCGATCAACCGGCTATCCAAACCCGAGTAAACGGTAATAAGAAGGCATTAAGGGAATGCGGTCCTCCACCTATTCAAATATTCCCTCGTTTTCCGCCTGATTTTTCCACATGGTGCCACGCAGCTCAGCCACATACACTGTGCAATATAATAAATCCTTCAGCTGTAACACCCTTTCGGTGCCTAGCTGCTATGCTACCCGAAGGAAGCTCGAGGGCTGGGATAGTGCCAGATTACCCAAGCCTAGACAGGGGAAGCAGAGAAGCAGAGGTTGGGTTCGAACCACGGACCTTCGGATCAGTAAATTCGCGCTCTAGCCACTTCAGCCATCTCGCTCCCATACACTGTGTGTGGAAGCCATTTCGTGGATATGCGGTCAAACGGAAAAGCAATAGATTGCGGAACTATGGATGAATTTATCTTTTCCTGTCGTTTCAAACATTTATAGGATATGGCTCTTCTTTAGTTCAGCATTGGATTCTATCGGTCAATGTGTTTAGCCCCATGAAAAGTCAACTGACACTGGCATACCCAGATGAGACGCGGCGAACTGAGTGGCAGCATGTTTGTGGTAGTGCCTCACGAATTACTTGTGGCTGAGTATTGCCAAACAATTTATGCTTTACCACTGAATTCCGAGGTGACGTTTGCAATATCAACTGAATTGTACGAGGATACAAGCGAATAACTTGTAACCTCAGTGCACTTCCGTTGCGACAGAGTGCAAACTAATTCATTCATATGTTCACATCCAATTGTCTTTTAGTAGCAGAGGATAATTCCAATGTGCACGATCCGAAGGCTGAGAAGGTTCTCCGAATGGCTCAGACCTTGACGTGCCCGATACTCTACTATGTACTCACCTTCGGAGATCAAGAAAGCAAGTCGGAACTCGCGCTTCCCCGAGAACAGTGCAAAATGATACCTCAAATGGATGCGGACGAATATGCCGTACGCGTCACACTGGTCACCTCCAAGTCTCAGATGCGTAGTTCGCCTGAGATAAAATTGGAAGGTTCGTCACAGAAATCCGATTGATTTTTGGTTGTTTTTTCGTAATCATTATCGTCATTATCACCATCAACGTCACCGGTGTTGACAACAGCGGGAACGTCACCACCCTCACCGCAGCTACCGTCGACAACGGTAATGGCATTATTCTTGTTCGACGATGGTAGTGTGAGAGGATTTTGAGATTTTAATGGAATTTCCACTACACAAGTCGCTTGATGATGAAGAAGCAAGAATCACTGTACGGCTGTTTCATCCTGGTTGGAAGTTGTCAGCAGCGTGTTTTTCAAAAAGCTATAGGAGGGCTCTAAACCAGCCGCCCCGTCTAGAGGTTGGAGACGCCGTCGGTCGATCACGGGCGGCTGAATAGCATTGTGATTAACACCACACAGC